TACTCAGCCCAAGTCTTGGCACATAGTAGTTGCGTGTTTTTTTGAACTTGCCCTAACTTACCTAATTTATGTATTTTACTTTTTCAATTTTAGAGATAGGGTCTTGCCCTGCTGCCCAGGCTGAAGTGCAGTGGTGCAATTATAGTTCATAGCAGCCTCCAATTCCTGAGCTAAAGGGATCCTCTCACCTCAGCCTCCCGAGTAGCTGGGACCACAAGCACGCACCATCACCCATGCCCAGCTAATTTTTAAAATTTTTTTTTTTTTTTTTTTGAGACCAGAGTCCTCGCTTAGTCCGCCCAGGCTGGAGGGCAGTGGCGCGTCTCGCTCACTGCAAGTTCGCCATCCCGGGTTCACGCCAATCCCTGCCTCAGCTGCCCCCGAGTAGCTGGGACTACAGGCGCCCGCCGCCTCGCCGGCAATTTTTTGCATTTTTTTAGTAGAGATTGGGTTCACCGTGTTACCAGATGGTCCTCGATCCCCTGACCTCGTGATCCGCCCACCTCGGCCTCCCAAAGTGCTGGGATTACAGGCGTGAGCCACCGCGCCCGGCCGCCCAGCTAATTTTTTTCACTTTTTGCAGAGATGTGGTCTTGCTATGTTGCCCAGGCTGGTCTCTAACTCCTGGGCTCAAGTGATCCTCCTGCCTTGGCATCCCAAAGTGCTGGGATTACAGGCGTGAACCACGGCACCCAGCTGTAGTTGGGTGTTTAACAAAGGTGTATGTAGCTCTTAGTGTATATGCCTCAGCATCTTCTTCCACACCCTCTCTGGGTCAATGTAAAAATCTATGAATCGATGACATCTCTGATTAGAATGATTTTCCTAGGGTTGTGCAGTACCCAACCTGTTCAACTGTCCATGGCAGCCGCATATGGAGCAGCCACTATACTAAGTCCTTTACATACATGAACTCATGGCAGTGGCCCTATGAGGACCTGCACAGATGAGAAACCCAATTCCCCTTTTGCTGACAGGCTAGGAGGTCTCAGCTAAGGCCTTTCCCTATCCCAGCCTGTTTTCTCATTTATATTTGGGGATGACCTGCAGACTTGTCATGGGGTTAGCAATTGGGCAGCATGGCCCCGGCCAACGTGGGGGATGGGATGGAGGTGGTTATTGATCTCGACTTACCATGCTCTGGGGGGAATTTTGAAGCTCCTCTCTCCCTCTCCTCCAAGGTGGACAGCAGCCATCCCCAGGGTCAGTGGCGACAGGACAGTGTGCGGTAAGAACCACATATTCCAGACTGGGGGCCCCTCAACCCTTCCCTTGGGACTCAGACTCTGGGGTTAATAAAGAGATCTATATCCAAGCTATGCCTTCATGTGCCCCTAGCCTAGCTGGGAAGACAGAGCCTGCCAAAGCCTCTCTAAGCCCCATATAATCATGGCCAAGGGAGTAGGAATCCACTTCCTGGGAGAGCTAGGAAGGCTTCTTGAAGGGCAGGACATTGAAGCTGGGGCTTTGAGGGATGCATAGGAGTTTGTTAACAAGGCGCTACCCATGAATGCCCAGATGTGCTTATCTCTGCCCACACCCACTGTGCCTAGCACAGTCAGCCTCAGTTTACAGTGGGAAAGCTCACACGCTGCCCACCCACAGCATCTATTCTATTTCCTGATCCCCAGAACCTATGAACGGGAAGCCCTGAAGAAAAAGTTTACACGAGTCCGCGATGCGGAGTCCTCTGATGAAGAAGGCTACGACTGGGGTCCGGCCACTGACCTGTGACCTCTCCCAGGCTGCCAGCCGGTCCGTCCTCCTTCTCCCTCCCTGGGACTGGGACTCAGTTTCCCATACAGAACCCGCAACCCCGCCTCCCTCTGCCTGGTCTTTAATAAACAGAGTATTTTCACAGCACCGGCTTCTAGTGGCTTCCGGGAAGGATAAGGTGGTGAGAGGGCCAAGCCCCGGGCTCACCTTCCTCGGTCTCGTAGACCCTGATCCGAGACTTTGCCGCTTGCATAAGCTTTTACTGTTTTTATATCAGGAAATCATACAGGACCAAGAACCGCTGGGGTCCTGGCCAGCCAAGGCAGGCCCAGGATGGGGCTCCGGGGCCATGGAGGCGAAGGCACAGTGGCAGGCGAGGGACACGGTGGTCACAGGTACACGGGCTGCTCCTGGCCTGTAAGGAGGCGGTATGTGGCGGCTGGCATCGTCTTGATATGTACCTGGGGAGTGGAGGCAGAATGGGGTTCAGGGCAGGCCTGGGCGTGCCGGGGACGTGGGGGCGCCCCTGGCCACCACCCACCACCTGCGCACCTCGCCGCAGGCCTCGGTGAGCAGCTCGATGATGCGGGCGTGTGGCGTGGCCACCACGCTCTGCCCATTGATCTCAATGATGCGGTGGCCCACACGGATGCCCCCGCGCTCGGCGATGCCGCCGCGGAGAAGGCTGCAGATCTGGGGGAGGAAAGCGGGGAATGGGAAAGAGGTGGGGGCTGCTCAGGGGCCGTGCTCAGGGCCGCCCTCCCCCCCACCGCGGGCCAGGGGCCGGGGCCTCACGATGCCGTCCTCCACGCAGAAGCCCAATTGCTCGCGAGTGTGGGGCCGGTGGATGATGGCGGTGGTGACGGGCGGGCAGTGGACGATGCTGAGTGTCACCGACGTCTGCGACTTCGTCTCCTGCAGGGCGGGGGACGTTGGCCTCACTCAGCTGCCGGACAGCCTGGCAGGCTGTAGCCCCCTCTGGGCCTCAGTTTACCCTCTCATAAACCAGAGACCTGGAGCACAGCGGCTCAATTCTGGGAGACCCCTCAGATGTGGTGGAGAACAGACTCGGGCCCGGTGGGCTTGGGGTCGAAGCTGTGTGACCCGAGCCATATCGCTTCCTTATGGCCAAAAGCCAAGCCGACAGCCGGGCTCTCCAGGCAGGCTGCAAACGTCTGTAAGAGGCTGCACGGACTGTGGCCTCATCCCTCTGACGGGGGCAGGTCCCTCCCTACCTCTGGGCCTCAGTTTCCCCATCTGAACAACAAAGGTTAAGACTCAAAAACATGGCCAGGCGCAGTGGCTCACGCCTGTAATCCCAGCACTGTGGGATTAGGCAGGTGGGTCACTTAAGGGCAGGAGTTCAAGACCAGCCTGGCCAACATAGTGAGACCCCATCTCTACAAAAAGTAAAACAATTAGCTTGGCGTGGTGGTGCACACCTGTGGTCCCAGCTACTCGGGAGGCTGAGGCAGGAGAATTGCTTGAGCCCAGGAGGTCAAGGCTGCAGTGAGCCACAGGTGCACCACTGCCCCCCAGCCTGGGCAAGAGAGTAAGACCTTGTCCCAAACAAACAAAGCCCCCTAGAAATCAGCTGTCTCTTGTTAGACAGCGAGCCGCCCAGCCCTGGCGCTGGGCCACCCGCATTTCCATCCTGGCTCTGGTTCTAGGGAGGTGCCCTGGACAAGCGGCCTCACTTCTCCAGGCCTCAGTTTCCCCAAGGGCACACGAGTGGGCAGGACTTGAAAGTTAGACTTTGTCCCTCCCGGCTGGCCTGGAGAGACCTGGCCAGGGAAGAGACCTCTCTGGGACTCAGTTCCCCTTCCTGGGAATGTGGGGGCCCCGCCACCCCAGGAAACTCACGCGGACGGCGGCCTGGCACGCGGCCAGAGGCAGCCCCACCAGGCTGGTCCCATTGATGGCGGTCAGGCGGTCCCCGATGCTGAGGGCTCCCGAGCGCTCAGCGGGCCCCCCATGCAGCAGGTTGGCAATGACGGCTGTGGGCAGCAGGGAGCCCCAGCCCGACTCCACCAGGGCCACGCCCAGGCCCTCCCCTCGCCGCTTCTCGAGGAGCACCTGGGACAGAAAGGGGGTGCGGAGGCTGCTTGGGAGGGCCTGGTGCTGGTGCACGGCGGGGGCAGGGGCCAGGCGGGGACTGCCCGGCGCCTCACTCACCTCCCGGCAGTTGTCGCTGTTGGAGAAGTGGTCCAGGTCCCCGTTGTGGAGGTACCCGGGGCCCGGGCTCGGCTGCACGCCCACCTGGCTGGGGTCGATGCCGCTTTCCCGCAGGAACTGGCTGTAGGCGGCGGCGAAGGCCTGGCCGATGGCCTGGGCGATGAGCTGGGCCTGCGGGGAGGGGCGGCGCGTCCCTGGGGTGTCCCACCCACCTCCTCCAGGTCCCCGAAGTCCCCAGGGTCCTCAGAGCTGAGCCCTCCTGTCCCCACCTGGGGTGAGAGTCCCAGGACACAGCCGCCTGCCCTGGGGCTTTGGGGGAGGTGAAGAGACAGCCGTATCTTGGGGAATCTACAGGGAGAAGGAAGGGTAGGGGCAGCCCTGGGCTGGGGCGACGATGAGGGAGGCAGCTCCCTGAGCATGGGTTGTGGGAAAAGCTACCAGAGACCCAGCCAGGGGGCCGGGGGCCTGATGGGTGGCAGGGACAGCCCGGGAGTGGGCGAGGTTTCAGGGAGACAGCTGAGGGTCTTGGAGGCTTATGGGAGGATGGGCGCGGTAGTTCACGCCTGTAATCCCAGCACTTTGGGAGGCCGAGGTGGGTGGATCACTTGAGCCCAGGCGTTTGAGACTCTATGTTCACCTGGGCAACAGAGCGAGACCCTGTCTCTATCAAAAATCCAAAAATTAGCCAGGCATGGTGACACCTTGTGGTCTCAGCTACTAGGGGGGCTGAAGTGGGAGGATCGCTTGAGCCTGGTAGGGGGCAGAGGCTGCAGTGAACTACAATCGTCCCACTGCACTCCGGCCTGGGTGACAGGGAGACCCTGTCCCAAAAAAAGAATTAAAAAAATAAGCCATGGGAGGGAGGCTAAACGCGTGGCCCAGCAAGGCGGGTAACAGTTGCCGTGAGGAGGGCCTCAGAAGGGTGGCCCCACGCCCTGGCTGCTCACGTCCTCCGCGTGGAACACGTGGCAGAGCATCTTGTACAGGCGACGGCCGTGGTCCTGGGGAGCCGGCCTCCGCGCCAGCCGCCGCCGCGCCATCAGCACCAGCACGCAGCCGATGTCGGCTATGTAGGAGATAGTATGCAGGGCGTGGTCCATCATGGCCTCCTGGGGGCGGGAGAGGCAGCCTGGGTGGGCTGGGGGGCCCTGCCAGGCTCGATCACCCCACCCGCATCCCTGGGGCCAGGTCCCTGCCCCGTACCTGGGAATCCGCTGTCAAGACCTTGATCCTCTTGGTGGAGACGAACAGGTCCACCTCCGTCATGGGCTGGGTCTCCCCGTCGGGGGCCTGTGGGGGGCAGCGTGGGAGGTGGAGGCTCCTACAGACCCAACCCGCAGCCCATCCGCCTGCCCACCCGCCCCTGGCCGCCCCCTCACCTTGACGCGGTCCATGGCCTCCCGGGCCTGAGCCATGCGTGTGCTGGTGGGCGGGTTCCGTTCTGATACCAGCTGGGTGGAACCCAGGTACCTGGCCCCAAATATGACACCATCCAGGAGGTCTTCATGGTCACAGGGACCGGGCACTGAGGGCGACAGCGGAGAGGGTCAGCCCTCAGGGGCCCACTCCCACGGGCTCTGCCCCAGGGCTGTGCTCTCCGAGATGGTCGGAAGATACAGTGTTCTAGCTGGTGGCTGAGCACTCTCCAGCCAGGAAGCACAGCCCACTGTTCTAGAACCATCCAAGCAGCCTGGCCCTCACAGGTCTAGAACCTTCTGTCCATCCCGCAAGGACTCGCAGGCGGGAAAGCCAGTGAGTCCAGGCCATGGCTAGATTCAAAGCCAGATCTAGCACCCACAGATACCTTCACCCCATATCCCCAGAATTCCAGGATCGGGCCAGAACCAGACAGTCCCATGTCTACATTTTTTGAGACACAGTCTTCGCTGCTTGCCAGGCTGGAGCTCAGTGGTGTGGATCTTAGCCACTGCAACTCTGCCTCCCAGGTTCAAGTGATTCTCCTGCCTCAGCCTCATGAGTAGCTGGGATTACAGGGCGCCTCCACCAGCCTGGCTAATTTGGTATTTTTAGTAGAGACGAGGTTCGCCATGTTGGCCAGGCTGGTCTCAAACTCCTGACCTCAAGTGATCCACGCCGCTTTGGCCTCCTGAAGTGCTGGGATGATAGGCGTGAGCTACCGCCGGCCCCCCCACTCCTATTTCTAAGCCTCCACAACATTCTAGAACCACAGTGGACCTCTGCTTCTCGGTTCTGGAGTTCCCTCAATCAATCTAGAACTGGCCAGCATTGGCCCTGTTCTAGAACTGTCTCCAGTCAGCCCAGGATAGCTGTCAGCTCTGTGCCTGGGTGTAGAACTGCCCAGAATAGAGAGGAGAACTGGCTGCCTGTCTAAAAAATTCCCATACTGTCCAGAACCCCAGTTGGTTCTGACCCTTGATTCTAGAACTCTCTGACAGGTCTCATACACGATTCTGTCAGGAGTTCTAGAAACTTTCTTATCCCTCTAGAATCAGACTTCTCCGTGATTCTAGACATCTTAATCACAACGGCGTCAGACAGCTCTCCTGTGGTTCTAGAATCCCTTCAGTAGTTCACACCTTGGCCTACACCACTGATTCTAAGAATTAACCTGACCAGTCGATGGAACAAACAATTCTGTTCCAGGGAATTCCAGAACAGTTCTAGAATACTCCAACCCAGCCCAGAACTACATAAAGCTTTACTCCTGGCCAGCGCCGGTAGCTCACGCTCTGTGTCATTCAGCACTTTGGGAGGCCGAGATAGGTGGATCACCTGAGGTCGGAGTTCGAGACCAGCCTGGCCAACATGACGACCCTGTCTCTACTAAAATACAAAATTAGCTGGGCGTGGTGGGCACATGCCTGTTAATCCCGGCTACTCGAAAGCTGGAGGGCGGGAGAATTCACTTGAACCCAGGAGGTGGAGGTGCAGTGGAGCCGGAGAGAGATCGCGCCACTGCACACCAGCCCTGGGCGACAGGGCAGATTCCG